GCAATGAACTGTGTGGAAGAGAAGGAATGGTTGAACCTGCTGACGAAAGTCTGTCAGTACAACAGTCACCGCTTGAAGCAGTACCATCCTGGTGCTTATATTAACTGTGTGTGGCTCTGGTAAGTTAATACCCACCACACCATCTACACTCACCCACCACACCATCTACACTCACCCACCACACCATCTACACTCACCCACCACACCATTTACAATCACCCACTACAACAGTTACACTCACCCACCATGCCAACTACACTCATCCACCACACCAACTAAACTCACCCACCACACCAGCTACACTCTCCCACCACACCAACTACACTCACCCACAACAACTACACTCACCACCACACACCAGCTACAACTCTCCCACCACACCAACTACACTCAACCACAACAACTACACTCACCCATCACACCAGCTACACTCACCCACCACACCAGCTACACTCACCCACCAACACCAACTACACTCACCCACTACACCAGCTACACTCACCCACCACACCAACACACTCACCCACTACACCAGCTACACTCATCCACCACACCAACTAAACTCACCCACCACACCAGCTACACTCTCCCACCACACCAACTACACTCACCCACAACAACTACACTCACCCACCACACCAGCTACACTCTCCCACCACACCAACTACACTCACCCACAACAACTACACTCACCCACAACACCAACTACACTCACGCACAGCAACAACTACACTCATCTCCCACACCAACTACTTTCACCCACAATATCAATTATAACTCACCCACCAGCAACAACTACACTCACCCACAACAACTACACTCACCTACAACAACTACACTCACCACAACAACTACACTCACCCACAACACCAACTACACTCACCCACAACACCAACTACACTCACCCACAACACCAACTACACTCACCCACAACAACAACTACACTCACCCACATCAACTACACTCACCCACATCAACTACACTCACCCACAACAACAACTACACTCACCCACAACAACAACTACACTCACCCACATCAACTACACTCCACCCACAACAAACAACTCACTCACCCACAACAACTACACTCACCCACATCAACTACACTCACCTGCCTCACCAATCACACTCATAAGAACATAACATAAGAAAGGAGGAACACTGCAGGAGGCCTGTTGGCCCATACTAGGCCAACTACACTCACCCACAACACCAACTACACTCACCCACAACACCAACTACACTTGGAAAATCCTGGAAGAAATGGTCCCAAATCTGCACACAGAAATCACTCCCTACGAAAGTAAAAGACTGGGCAGGCGATGCAAAATGCCCCCAATGAAAAGTAGGGGCGCCATTGGTACACTAAGGGAAAACACCATAAGTGTCCGGGGCCCAAAACTGTTCAACAGTCTCCCATCAAGCATTAGGGGAATTGCCAATAAACCCCTGGCTGCCTTCAAGAGAGAGCTGGACAGATACCTAAAGTCAGTGCCGGATCAGCCGGGCTGTGGCTCGTACGTTGGACTGCGTGCGGCCAGCAGTAACAGCCTAGTTGATCAGGCCCTGATCCATCAGGAGGCCTGGTCATGGACCGGGCCGCGGGGGCGTTGATCCCCGGAATAACCTCCAGGTAACCCACAACAACAACTACACTCACCCACAACAACAACTACACTCACCCACAACACCCACCCACAACACCCACACCCACACACCCACAAGTCCCACATCGCCCACACACCCACATCACCCAAAACCACAGCACCTGCACACCCACACTCCCACAACACCCACATCACCCACAAGACCTGCAACACCCACACACCCACAACACCCACACACCCACAACATCCACACACCCACAACATCCATACACCCACAACATCCACACACCCACAACATCCACACACCCACAATACCCACACACCCACAACTGCACACCCACAACACCCACACCCACAACACCTGCAACACCCACACACATACAACATCTACACACCCACAACCCCCACAACACCCCCACACCCTCAAAACCCACAACACCCACTCACCTATAACACCCACACACACTCAACACCCACAACACCCACACACCCACAACACCCACAACACCCACACACCCACTCACCCACAACACCCACACACCCACACACCCACAACACCCACACACCCACAATACCTACAACACCCACACACCCACAACACCCACAACACCCACAACACCCACATCAACCCCACACCACCCACAACACCCACACACCCACAACATCCACAACACCCACAGCATCCACAACACCCACACACTGACAACACCCACACACCCACAACACCCACACACCCACAACACCCACACACCCACACACAACACCCACACACCCACACTCACAACACCCACAACACCCACAAACTATACCATGGATGGGGAGAGAACCCACGATCAGAGAGTCTCAAAACTCCAGCCCGTCGCGTTAGCCACTAGACCAGCTAGCCACAATAAGATTCATCCAACTAGGTATATTTCTACACCATAGGAAGGTTAGCACAGGCACCAATGTGACCACAAATGCAAGTTTTTACAGACACACACCCTCAACACCCACACACCCACATCACCCTGACACCCACATCACCCACATCACCCACAACACCCACAACACCCACATCACCCACAACACCCACATCACCCACAACACCCACATCACCCACAACACCCACACACCCACACACCCACAACACCCACACCCCACCCACAACACCCACACACCCACAATACCTACAACACCCACACACCCACAACACCCACACCCCCACAACACCCACAACACCCACATCACCCACACACCCACAACATCCACAACACCCACAGCATCCACAACACCCACACACTGACAACACCCACACACCCACAACACCCACACACCCACAACACCCACACACCACAACACCCACACACCCACACCCACAACACCCACACACCCACAACACCCACAACACCCACAAACACCCACATCACCCACAACACCCACACACCCACAACACCCACACACCCACAACACTCACACACCCACGACACCCACAACACCCATATACCACGACACCCACAACACCCTTACATCCACAACATCCACACACCCACAACACCACACACCCACAACACCCACACACCCAACACCCACACACCCACAACACCCAAATACCCACAACACCCTTACATCCACAATACCCACACACCCACAACACCCGCACACCCACAACACCCGCACACCCACAACACTTACAACACCCACACGTCCACAGCTCCCACAACACTGACACACCCACACACCCACAACACCCACACACCCACACACCCACAACACCCACAACACCCACAACACCCACAACTACCCTCTAACTCCTGTGGCTCACTTTATTACTTTACATTCTCCAGGAGCTGTTGGGGAATGTGAGGTATTAATGCTATATTATTAATGTTATATGATGTATTAATGATGGTGGTGGTGCCACCGCTGGTGACGGTGGTGGTGCCACCGCTGGTGATGGTGGTGGTGCCACCGCTGGTGATGGTGGTGGTGCCACCGCTGGTGATGGTGGTGGTGCCACCGCTGGTGATGGTGGTGGTTTGCCACCGTGGTGACGGTGGTGGTGCCACCGCTGGTGATGGTGGTGGTGCCACCGCTGGTGATGGTGGTGGTGCCACCGCTGGTGACGGTGGTGGTGCCACCGCTGGTGATGGTGGTGGTGCCACCGCTGGTGATGGTGATGGTGCCACCGCTGGTGACGGTGGTGGTGCCACCGCTGGTGATGGTGGTGGTGCCACCGCTGGTGATGGTGGTGGTGCCACCGCTGGTGACGGTGGTGGTGCCACCGCTGGTGATGGTGGTGGTGCCACCGCTGGTGACGGTGGTGGTGCCACCGCTGGTGACGGGGTGGTGCCACCGCTGGTGATGGTGGTGCCACCGCTGGTGATGGTGGTGGTGCCACCGCTGGTGATGGTGGTGGTGCCACCGCTGGTGACGGTGGTGGTGCCACCGCTGGTGATGGTGGTGGTGCCACCGCTGGTGACGGTGGTGGTGCCACCGCTGGTGACGGTGGTGGTGCCACCACTGGTGATGGTGGTGCCACCGCTGGTGATGGTGGTGGTGCCACCGCTGGTGATGGTGGTGGTGCCACCGCTGGTGATGGTGGTGGTGCCACCGCTGGTGATGGTGGTGATGCCACCGCTGGTGATGGTGCCACCGCTGGTGATGGTGCCACCGCTGGTGATGGTGGTGGTGCCACCACTGGTGATGGTGGTGGTGCCACCGCCAGTGATGGTGGTGATGCCACTGCCGGTGATGGTGGTGGTGCCACCGCCGGTGATGGTGGTGGTGCCACCGCTGGTGATGGTGGTGGTGCCACTGCTGGTGATGGTGGTGGTGCCACTGCTGGTGATGGTGGTGGTGCCACTGCTGGTGATGGTGGTGGTGCCACCGCTGGTGATGGTGGTGGTGCCACCGCTGGTGATGGTGGTGGTGCCACCGCTGGTGATGGTGGTGGTGCCACCGCTGGTGATGGTGGTGGTGCCACCGCTGGTGATGGTGGTGATGCCACCGCTGGTGATGGTGGTGGTGTCACCGCTGGTGATGGTGGTGGTGCCACCGCTGGTGATGGTGGTGGTGTCACCGCTGGTGATGGTGGTGGTGCCACCGCTGGTGATGGTGGTGGTGCCACCGCTGGTGATGGTGGTGGTGCCACCGCTGGTGATGGTGGTGGTGCCACCGCTGGTGATGGTGGTGGTGTCACCGCTGGTGATGGTGGTGGTGCCACCGCTGGTGATGGTGGTGGTGTCACCGCTGGTGATGGTGGTGGTGTCACCGCTGGTGATGGTGGTGGTGGTAAAACACAACTACAGTGGTCCCTCAATAATTGTCCGGCCTGAAAGTCATCCATTTCGGAAATAATCCTGTTTTTTCGTCAAAATATTGGCTCGGAAATGGTCCGGTAACTCGCTAATAGTCCTTCGTCCTGGACGCGTACTCACGGTCTGAGTGGCCTCAAGCCGCCTCGGCCTTTCCTTCCCAGCCAGTGTGCTATTGTTTACCAGTGAGCAACGGTCCCCTCACGTGCTCCAGCG